AACTCCGGTCCTGGAGAGCCGCAGCCCTGCAGAGTACAGCTCCAACCCTAATTATAACACACCTGCCTGTAGCTTTCTAGTAACCCTTCAGACCTTGATTAGCTTGTTCAGGTGTGTTTGATTAGGGTTGAAGCAAAACTCTGCAGGGCTGCGGCTCTCCAGGACTGACGTTCGCCACCCCTGATCTATAGTATGAAAAATGGATATTATATTTTTTGAGTTGCTATATATATGTGCTATTAAATTAGTGTTTTTAAAGATTAATTTTAAGTGAGCATTGGGAGATCAAATTGTAAAAAAGGCATTTGTGAATGGACAATTAATATCCAAAAAAATTATTTTATTTCATTATTTTTAATATTATTTCATTTAAATGTCTTGGAGTGCAGAATGCTGATTTTTTTGTTTTTGTTTTTTTAAACCAGAAGTTCAGTCAATGGAGGGTGTTTCAGTGACAACGCTTCAGTGTCATCAGCAGGTCTTGTTGCTATTTTCATTATTTATTCTAACTTCAGCGATGTCAAATGTGTATATACTGTGACGTAATAAAATGATTGTTTTTGCACTAACAGACAATGATTGTGAGATGACCACATTGAGACGACCAAAGAAAGGGTTTTGGCAGAGTTTGGAAAAGGTTTCTTTCGATGTCTCATCATTATCAATCATTACTTGGCTTTTGTTTATTCTTGGAGTATTTGTATTTTTATAGTTTTGAAATATGTGGCTCATGTGATAACATGATCAGCCTTTACTGGGGACTATAGATTACCATTGTTCATATATGTGACCCTGGACCACAAAACCAGTCATAAGGGTCATATAAATATGCTTTCCATTGATGTATGGTTTGTTAGGATAGGACAATATTTGGCCGAGATACAACTATTTGAAAATCTGGAATCTGAGGGTGCAAAAAAATCAAAATATTGAGAAAATCGCCTTTAAAGTTGTCCAAATTAAGTCCTTAGCAATGCATATTACTAATCAAAAATTAAGTTTAGATATATTTACGGTAGGAAATTTACTAAATATCTTCATGGAACATAATCTTTACTTAATATCCTAATGATTTTTGGCATAAAAGAAAAATCGATAATTTTGACCCATACAATGTATTTTTGGCTATTGCTACAAATATACCCCAGCGACTTAAGACTGGTTTTGTGCTCCAGGGTCAAATATCTACTTCAAAGGGAAAAAATGTTCTCTTTTTATTTTAGCGGTCTAAGAATCAGGTTGTTGACCTTACGGAAGACAGAGGTATTTGATCTTGAATAAAATGATGTTATAAAAAATGCGCTGTTGTATAGACTGTATGGTGGGCATGATGTGTTTTTGTTCTGGTTGAGCAGCCAGACTGAATGAAGAGAGCCTGGTTACCCAACCATCAGATCAGGTACGCCATCATCCTCTCACTCAGGTTTCTCTCATTCTAGATGTGCATTTTCAGACTGTTTCATAGCCGTTTTGTTTGCACATTTGTGCTCTGCAGAAATCAGAACCTTCAAAACGGGAACAATCAAATCCCACAAGTACATCACCTATAGCCATTAAAGGTATGATGCCATTGAATTTGTCTAGTTTGTTTTTGTTATTTTCTTTTTTTCAAAAATGATGGTTTAATGCAAGACATAAACAATTCTTTAAGTCTTGTTTTAATGTCATTTTATTTAATGAACAGAAGAAAAACAAAGTGTAACGGAGGAGGACCGTGTCAGTTCTTCAGTACAGTTGGAAGAGGTATGCTAATGTTTTGTATGTGCTACTACATCGACAAGTTTATATCAAAACAGCCTTAACATTTCGGTTTCTACCTTTCCTTCGTAGGAGGACTGGCACTCCAAACTCCATCCGTTCCCAGAGACTCCGTTTCCCAAAGAGCTTCCGGTTGTAGCTGCAACTTACAACTTGCCCCAGAAGCCAGTGGTGAAACTAGCTCGGATTGGAAGCGCACAAGAACTAGGCATCGCGTGGACCGTGGATCAGAAAGATCCCCATGTAGCAGAGCTGGATTGCTACTACATTTACGTTTCCCACGAACACAAAAACGGCACTTTTTCAGGATGGAAGTGCCTTGGAGAGATCAAAGCCATGCCTCTTCCTATGGCCTGCAAGGTGTCCGACTGCAAAGGAGATAAACAACTGTGCTTTATCGTTGTGGGGAAGGATATATTTGGCCGTTATGGGCCGTACAGTGACATACGCACTGTGGCATCAGGACAAATATGATTTGGGCGACATTTCTCCAGTGTGTTGAAACTTCTGTTCATATAAGGTTTGAAGGAGTATGAATGTGACTCTTTATACTAGAATTTAGAGTATTTAAGATTTGAATTTCTTAAAAGATGTTAAGTTGGGTACAAATAAAGTTAAAGCTGCTGTTTTTACCTCCATTTTTGTATTTCTAGTTTTTTTCTTTCTCTGAAGAAAATGTTTGTTTGTTTTGTTTGTTTTTTAGTATCAGAGAGCCCAGAACGTCATTCCACTTATATGAATCACACTAACACAAAAGTATTAAAGGAACTGCTGTCTTGTATTGTTTTTATTGGTTATAAAGTTACAAACTGATTTAATTTGTCTCTGGTCTTCATGAGATGAGGTCTTCAGTGGTTTGAGTCAACAAAGCAATCACTAGCCATAATAGACAGTGATCTAATGTAAGCGGCAGAAAACATTTCAGACGTTTGTTCATGCTGCTGCAGAAATGACACTCAAATGGAAATATAACATTATATCAGTCATTCTCAAAAATCGTGACTTCTGACTTACAAATGTTAAAGTTATGAATTCAGTTCAGTTCCATTTTCTGCCATAAAAGATGGTAGTTGTTTATTAATATCTTTTCTTTTTTTTCATTTCACAGATGAAGCAAGTTTTGTAACAATTGTGACATTTGACTAACATTTGACATTTTTTCATGACTAAAATGCCTCCGATCATATTTACTGCCATATTTTGAGATTGATCCAACAGTATTTGCTGTACATCAGAACAGGAAGAGCCACAAACCGTTCGTTAATGTAAAATACATTTATTTGATAAAAAAAAAAGAACAATATTGAGCCCTTGGTGGGGATCAGTCTCCAGAAACAGACCTGACCTGAACAACTCAGCAGACATTTAAACACAAAGCTGCCATTGTGGTTTCCTTCCGATTACAAAAGCCTTCACTAATATTCATTAAAACCTTCTGAAAATTAAGCATTATACAAACACGTTCAGGCCTGTTGATATAATACTTCCTTACAAAAAATATTAACAGCAACAATGCAGTTAGTCTTAATAAATACAGCTTAACTTCACTTTCACCTAAATAATATTAGCTAATTGCTTCTTATTCCATAGCAGATTTAAGGACGAAATGATTACACAAGAAAGGAAAACTGAAACCATTGGTGTGCTTCACCAACACCATCATCTTAAGGTTATTTGCATGAATATGACATAAATCCCAAGTGCCCTAATCAAACAGAATGCCTAAAAGAACTACAAATCTGTACTTTTGTTAATAGTGATTTCAAATTAAATGCTGCAAACAAATACAAAAACGTGCAATGTAATTAGTCAACACTAAAAGACTATTTTACAAAAAAAAAAAACTATACACGAGAACACATCGTGCCGCTAATATTGATAATTTGTTCAGCTTCAAGTATGATATAGTGCCCAGCAAACTGGCAGCACAATAATTCATTCAGATTTAGTTTTGAATGACTTTTGCCCCAGGCGCATATAATGACCAGGAAACATCACACTAGCATGTTATTTACCACACACTGAGTGTTACATATAAGGCCAATTTCACATCATGCATTGTGTATGAATACATGTTGAGCCCATAGTGGTTCCACGTTATAAATATGTCCTATTATATCTCCCACTCTTGTCTTTTTTTCCACGCCCTATTTTACCTCTCTAAATCACAGCACTTCTTTTACTGGGCAGGTAGAGCTCAATTATACACAACAAGGTTAAAAAATGTGACATACTATGAATAAAATCTAATTAAGTTTCCAGTATGCAGTGATTAATATTATAAGATCATCTACTTCACTCTAACTTTGGCAAGTATTTAATCTACATATAAAAACAAGTATCATTACAAATAAAGTCTCTTGGCTAAGGCTGTAGCTGGTAGCAGCTAGTGAGGTGGTGTGTTGTGCTTTATTTGCGTTTTCTTAGCACTAGATACATCAAGCCACTCAGCAGCGTCATGGGAAACGCGACCCAGGCCACGACAAAGGAGTATCCGTAGTCTCCATTCTTAAAATTCTTCTCTTTGAAGCTTAAGTGCTCTGCTGTGTAGATGGATGCGCCGGTCATCACACAGAAAGCTGTGGAAGAAAAAAAAAAGGGCAATTTACAGTTGGTTGGTAGTATTTAAAGGGATAGTTCACCCATAAATGAAAATGTTGTCATTAATTACTCTCCCTCATGTTGTTCCAAACCCGTAAGACCTTTGTTCATCTTCAGAACACAAATTAAGATATTTTTGATGAAATCTGAGAGCTCTCTGACCCTCCATAGACAGCAACGCAACTGACATGTTCAAGACCCAGAAAGGTAGTAAAGACATCATTAAAATAGTCCATGTGAAACCAGTGGTTCAAACCGTAATTTTATGAAGAAAACAAAAATAAAGCCTTCATTTAACAATTTCTTCTCTTCCATGTCAGTCTTCGACGCGCTTTCAGGAAAGTAACGCTGACGCAGAAGTCAGCGTCCCGAGGTAGAACGTCCATCTCTCTTAGTTCATCGTCTGTATATTCCAATGCTATCTCACGACCAATTCGTATGTATTTTACGATGTGGGTAATTCGTATGAATTTGTACGACCTCACTCGTACGATTTTGTACGATTTGTCTACACCCCAGTGGGTTTATGGGCGGGGTTAGGTGTACGTCATTCGTACAAATTCATACGAATTGTGCAACTTGTAAAATACGTATGATTTAGCAAAAATCGTATGAATTTGTACGAGTGAGGTCGTACGAATTCGAACGAATTAGCCACCTCGGAAAATATGTACAAATTGCCGTGAGATCGAGCTGTATATTCTGGTTCGAATAAGTAAGGCTGAATGATCCTCGTGTGAAAAAGTCTATCACCTGTTGTCCTCTAACATCACAGTCCATCTACATATTTGTTTAAAACTGTTTTTGACTATTTTCGTTATGAATACAGGACTCACGTTTTAGCTGGAAGAAACCGTTTGAAGTGGAAAAATGACTAAAATAATGGATTTGTTTCTTACAAACATACAGGATTTCGCTTCACAAGACATTACGTGATGGACTGGAGTGGTGTGAATTACTTGTGGATTATAGTGATATTTTTATAAGCTGTCTGAACTCTCGTTCTGACGGCACCCATTCACTGCAGAGGATCCATTAGTGAGCAACTGATGTAATGCTAAATTTCTCCAATTCTGATCTGAAGAAGAAACAAAATCATCTACGTCTTGGATGATCTGAGGGTGAGTAAACTTTCAGTTTTGTATGAACTATTTCTTTAGATGTACTTGTGATAAAAATGGTAAAAGTTTTCCATCTTACAAAATAAGTCCTTCAAAGCTGGGTCAATTTACATACTAGAAAGATGGCATGAAAATAACAGTACAAATACTTCAAGGTGCTTCAAGACCCCTCTTGACCTGTGATTTTGCGTAATGAATGATTTTCTTTGCATAGTACATAGGCAATAAGAAACGGCAATTGTGCTGCTAACAATGATTAGAAATATATACTGTGGGCATGAACTCACCAGACAAGAGCTGGATGATGGCCGTGAAGACAAATCTCTCGCCCTGCTTCAGACGGAAGAGCTGAAGGATGAAGACAAAGAAACCCACACAGCACAAGATAGTGGCCAGTATCATAGTGGCCTGGACAGTCTGAAGATAGGCTGATAAAGAGGAAGAGAACCAAGAGGCAATAAGTGCCTTCTTCTGGCCAGGTTTTATCAATAAACAACTTTAAACAATGCCATTAACACAATCATTTATACTGTATGACATCTTGCTCTGACCAAAGTAAATGGTGGTTATATTTGACTTAGATTTTATGATATTCGAGGCTTACCTGCATCAGAGGTTGCACTGTTCGGTATATCATAACAGCCTGTGGAGTTGCAGTGATACCAGAGATCTAAGGTGTAATCCTCCCAAACCCACCATACCTTGAAAAGATGGAGAATATATATTGACAGAATATAAACTCGGAGAAAAAAAATGTCCTTTTTCATGATACTGTGTTTTAAAGATCATTTTGTAAAATCCAAATAAGCTTTGCAAGTATATAATATACATACATATATAGAAAGGTGTATTTCTTAAATAAAATGAATACAATTATTATAGCAGTACATTTTACAGTATGCGCTGATGTAGATCAATAGATTATTTGAGGTAATCTTATCAGAAATGGTGCTCGATGTGTTAAGCTGGGTTTTTGCTGAAATCCCTAACAATAACACTGAGCAGTAACAGTGCTTATAGCAGACTAATAAAAATTAAAAAAAGACTGAAGAAGATCAACTTACATTTCTGATGGTTGCTATGAAGAGTAGTATTGCTGAGGTGATGTGGAAGAGGACGATGGAGGCCAAAATAATCAACATGGCTGATGGTGGAACAGAAAATCAAAAGCAGGAGAATCTGGAGGGGAAAAGGAAGATACAAGAATGTTATAAAAATCCTGTTGAATGAATACAAAGCTGAGACTGAGAACGGGAACTGCTGTTTTCTGCTTCTCTTGGTGGGAAAATCACCATGTGCCCATCTGAACAACCTACTCTTATTCTGCACTTTGACCTTGGAAGTACTTTTCCACAAGTATTTTTTTTTTCACCAATGACAAGAAATCAAAAGATAAACATTATTTTAAAATTATTTGGTAACACTTTACAATAAGGTTCCTGTTAACTTAAATACATTACATGAGTTAACAATGACAAATACCCCCAAAGCATGCATGTAACAATCTTAGTTTATGTACATTTGAAATCATTACCAATAATACCAGAATCTGTTAACATGACCTGAGTTAACATGAATTAACAATGAACAGATGTATTTTGTATTAATGTTAACAAAGATGAATAAATACTTATGCATTGTTCATTTTAAAATAATATCCGTTAATACATTAACTAATGGGATATTACTGTAAAGTGTTAGCAATTTATTATATTATTAGTTACCTATTTCTGTTTTGCATACGATAGACCTTGCACCAATAATGCAGCAAATTAAAATCAAATAAATGTCACACAGATTTAAACATGCAAAACAATACAAATCATTTGATATTAAGCTACATTTATGATTTTGTCCGATTTTATTGATCATTCAAGTAGATAGGAGGCAAGTCTAAAACCTCACACGCTTTGCTGAAAAATGCAGTCAGCTTCTGCTTACGTCACACACATGAGCCTCAGAGTCAGCTGCTAATTTAGCTTCCCATGATTCACTGCACTACGGCCACATACAGACAGCCTATACATCTCAGCCTGCACCACAGCCGCTCCGAGCCATTTATGAATGGCTTTTTTTCCTCCTTAACCTTGTATAGCGGGTGTAAGTTTATACTGGAGGTAAGAAACCCATTTTTTGCTCTGAAGTGTTTTAATGCTCAGTACTTGAGGATACAATAAATTTTAAAAAGACACACCTAAGAACTATATCACCTCAGCACTATGTCTGTAAAATACATGTCGCAAAAACCATATGTGGTGAACAGGGTTTTATCTATTTGCTAGGATACAAAATCCTTTACATACTTTTATTTGAGACACTTAGCAATGTTAACTAGATACACAAACAGAACTGTAAACTCTAAAATACAAGACTAGTTTACGCAAGGCTTACTGCAGCAGGAACAGATGTATGACTGAAGGATTTAACAGATGTAGTGTCCAGAAAATATAACAAAAATCTCTGGGTTTTTTCTCGGTAATAAAAAAGGATACAGAAGCAGGTAAATGAACATAGTGAAAGAAAACAATGATATAATCAGCAGTTAAAGATTATGTTTTCCTCCTTTAAAGTCTTCCTCATTTAATCTGTTTCCTTATTATACAGCTTATACACAACCAGATCATCAATAACTACCATCTTAATTAAGATGAAGCTGTTTTGCTCCAGGTGTATGAATCTAACCTGAGGTGGCGCCATTGAGCCAAGATTATGATGAGAGCCACAATTATCAAGAAGCATCAAGTGGGGAATATTTATTTATTTATCTGAAATCCCCACTCACAACTTGTAGAAAAAAACCTGGACATCCTGCTTACCTTCTCCTTTGGTGTCAAAGACAGGAAGTCATACAGGTTTGGAACAACATGTGGAAGCGTATATAATGGCAGAGTTTTCATTCGTCTCTTTAAGATGGGATGTGGGAGACAGGGTGTGGCATTTGAGCAATGAAGAGTTTAGGCGGGAAAATGGTAAAAGAATGGAGGGTTTCTGATTGAACTTATCTTAAAGAAATCAAAGAAACCTACCGCTCACAACCGAGCCAGAAAGATTCAGCCAACACGGTCATACTAAAAGAGACCCGAGTCGGAAGAGGAAGCCAGCCTTAGTACACAAGGGAGGCACAATGTGGGAGGATACAGGATGACGCTCGTCTAGTAGAAGTTTCTCAGAGCAGTTTCTACAAACACAGGCCTGAAAATCCTCTCTTTTTTAACTTTCACAGTTTCTTCTAAGGTCAGGGAAGGTACTGGGAACAAAATTAAGTGTAGGCATTAATAAAGACTGAGAATGTTGGTCATTTATTCAGAGCCAGTAGTGGAAATCCTCTGGAGACCTTCACCCCCTCAGGCAGTACATTAGCTGTCTGTCTCTGTAGAGGGTAAAGTGGGAGGCTGGTCTCATTAAATCGTAGCGTAATCATGTACTCGGTCCACACATGGTCTTAATTTTCTCTGAGGGGCGTAGTCGTAGAGGGCTGGAACGGGAGGAGCCAGGGGAGGAGGAACATGAGACCAAAAAGTCAAAACATGCGGTCCAAAAATCTGTGATCTGAAGTAGGAAATGTGTTGAGCAGATGATTCTGAGATTTTGAAAAAAAAAAAAAAAAAAAAATTTAAAAAACGAAATTCTTAGCTTGGGTGTGTTGCTGCTGTCAAGCAAAAAAAAAATTTTTACTTTGAATATTTGAATCCTGCATTTACAATGAATGGAGACTGAAGCTTTCAAGCTTCAAAAAGGATGCAAAAGCAAAAGAAATCAGGTAGTTATAAAGAAACCAGAAGACCTAGCTTTCTTAATTGTGACCCTGGACCACAAAACCAGTCTTAAGTCGCTGGGGTATATTTGTAGCAATAGCCAAAAATACATTGTATGGTTCAAAATTATAGATTTTTCTTTTATGCCAAAAATCATTAGGATATTAAGTAAAGATTATGTTCCATGAAGATATTTTGTAAATTTCCTACCGTAAATGTATAAAAACTTCATTTTTGATTAGTAATATGCATAGCTAAGGACTTCATTTGGATTTTTTTTTTGCACCCTCAGATTCCAGATTTTCAAATAGGCTAGTTGTATCTCGGCCAAATATTGTCCAATCCTAACAAACCATACATTAATGGAAAGCTTATTTATTCAGCTTTCAGATGATGTATAAATCTCAATTTCGAAAAAATTGACCCTTATGACTGATTTTGTGCTCCAGGGTCACAATTAAGGTCTTGAAGTTACTCCTTTATGCATTTTTCATCTGAGACTGTAGCAGTCTGTTAGGATCACTGCATTTCCAAGAGCTGCTATAGGCGGCGTCTGTCAATTTGCTGAAATCCATAATGGCGCAAATGTGGCATTTAACACACAGAGAACCAGTGTTTTGTTGTTTATGTCACTCTGTGAATGGTGGGAAATTGAGGAAAATGAAACCCTTTGACTAGGCAGAGGCCCACCAAACACAGAATACATGCGGAAGAACATACTGAAAATTGTATGTTGGCTACACAGAGGGATAATCGTCTGTGCACAGTCCCCTCAGGACTTTCAGGAACAAAAGATCTACTGTAGAGGTTCACCGAGGCCAACGGCAAGCGTGGAATCAGCTTCACGGGTGATTCACTTCAGCCTTCACAGGAACTGTGTACCTGTAACAGTCAAAAGAGGCGATACCGCGACCACACGGGTCTTAAAGGAAAACTCCAAGTTCAGTACAATTTAAGCTCTATCAGCAGCATGTTGATTACCATACATTTTTGAAAAACAATATGCATGTTATATTTAACACATCATTTGTTTACCAACCTTTTCTGTGTAAGTTATAGTCCATTTTATTTTTAAGTTTACATTCCAAAACTCGTCCCCATCACAACATAAAGCCTAAAACTTTAAAGGTAACGTAAAAATTGTAATTTAAACAGTCTTACAGCTCAAATGTACATGCTTTAACAGAACAATTAATAGAAGTGCTTTTATAAAAATATATAGTTTATAGTTTCACATTTCTGCTTTCAAATCCTTCAAAATTGGCCCAGGGTTACTATCGTTAACAAAAACTAAATTTAAAACTATTAAAACATTTTTGTTATGAAATTAAATGTAATATAAATATAAGATGAAAAAAACTATACTAGGTGAAAATTAGAAATCACCTCATATATAAAAAGTAAAATAGCTCATAAATAAAAAGTAAAACTGAACTAAACTAAAATAACAATAAATATAACCTAAATAGTAATATTACAAAAGCTACTATAAGCTTAAACTTAAACTAAAATTAAACTGAAAATATAAAAATAAAAGCTAGTTAAAATATTAATGAAAACTACTATAGTAAATAAATAATACTTAAAATAACACTGCTGAACTTGAATTGAATCTGGTATATTCCTTTAAATGATGGATCTGGATTATGTCTATATAAATGAAACAAGTGAGGGCAGGAAGAGCTGCAAAAACTGAACATACAATCTAGACACCTTGTGTGGCTTTTAAGTGTGGCTAATGAATAAATATGTCATTTCTGTACATTAGATCAATCAGTCAGGCTCAGGTCAAATCACAAATCACAGACATCTGTACTACAGCTGCACAAGACAAAGAGAAAAATCCAGAAATCCAGCATTTAGCTCAGCCTTATAATGGGGGCTGAGGCCCCGTCAAAGTTTATATAGGCTGAGACATGAAAACCCATGAGTGTTTGTCTTGGAAACTTGCTGTGGAGTTTCACTTTGCCATGTAGAATCCTGCTGGATGGTAATGACAGCCATACCTCCCAAGCCTAGAGGTTTCCAGAGAATTTACAAAGCATCATTAGTAAATTAATTGGAGTCAGCGCTTTAAAAGGTAGCAGATAAGCCATGTCGACTTATTTCTGCACTGAGAAATGTCTGCATGAGTGTGTGTGTAAACGCTATGGAGCCCCTGCTCATTTCCCCTAAGCTTGGTGGAAAACGCTGACTTGAGTTTCACTTTTAATGTCATTTTTTCATAAAAGCCGCAGTCTCCAGCAGACTTCCAAGTCAGCCACTGCTGAAAACAGAAACTGCTGTCATGGAACAAATGATTGAGATGAGAAGGAAAGCTTCAATGCCACCCAGCAAAGCTTTGCAGCTTTAATCCATGCAGGGCATACTGTACATCTTTTATGACCAGGGCTGGATATCGGAACTGATTAGCAGATTTGTTTA